TTTGAAAAGAATTCCATTAAAACTGAGGCGGATATTTTAGGCTAGTCTTACAAATCTAATCTCGCTATTTAAAATGAAAGGCGTATTTTGGCTTGATTTAATGACCTCGACCAATCTACCTTAAATCTCTTTTTAAAACCTGTTGTGAAATCCGATTACAATCGTTGAATTATTGCACTATTTTCTCACGAATTTATAACACAACATAAAGTTTGTATATGTATTCCATGAAACTTACACGACAGAATTTATACGAATTTCTAGCTAATGCCAATCGAACCGACCGCTATGCGATCTGACCAATGTTTTTCTTAGCAAACATTGAAGTTTTTTCAACAGACATTTTGAAAGTTTTTCAGCAGACATTTTGGAAGTTTTTTAAGCAGACATTTTGGAAGTTTAAGACAGACCGATGTTGTTAGTTTTAAGCAGAAGGTTTTGGTCTTGTATTTATCGCAAAAAAGAAACACTTTTAAATTAAAAACATTACCCAATGTTGATACAGGTATACAAAACGGGCTCTGTGCATTTCCTATTAGCTTAATATATCAAGAAATATTTTGTTTTTCGAGGTCTTGCCAAGGGTGGAAAAACCTATTGTCAGAATAAAAGCGAGGTATTTCATCATTTAACAACAGTTCTATCTGCATGTCTATCTATATCAGTCAATTCCTTTGAATTGAATAGACATACAATGCACTCATTCCAAGATCCTATTTTATCTAGTAGAACGGTATCACGCCTGGTTTCAATGTTACCGACATCAAAGCTCTTTTAGAAGGGAGAGAGAACAAATCTTGAAGAATTCCTGATTGACAAGAACAGTTATTCATGATAATAATGGCTGTTTTTCTACGACCCCAACACAATCCACCTGCTTCATGAAATTGGTTTCATTAAAATATTTGAATATCCTCTCCAAGTACATTTGTGATATTCGACACGTACCATTTTACATGTCTTTCATTATATCACAGTTTTAAAACAATGTCAATTATTCAAATACATTGTCACTAACCGCCGAGTTATTTAAGATGGCGAATATATACATAACGAGGAGTGATTAGGTCAATATTTGTTTTTAAACCCCGAACACTAAGTCTTTAAGATATCCTAAAAGTCTTAACAATTCCGCCAGGCTGGAAAAACAAACATGGTTATTAGGTCCACTAATATTCGTGCACCGTCTGACCTCCAAAAATAAAATGACTGTGACTTTTAAAGCACTTCCGGTGTTTCTAATTCTATTCCATTTGTGCCACGTGGGTAGAAATTAAATAAGAAACAAATGTTTCAGGAACAGGTTTTGTAAAGAATAAAATGTTAAGAGTGTGTGTATTAAAATGGCGATTCCCTGGCCAGTAACGTCACAATACAATTCCAGGAGTACCACACAGTGCCTTTATAATATGCCCATACCCAATATCCATTGCATCGATTCAACTAACCATTTTAGACCAAATAAGGTGAGGGGGGGGGGTCTAGTGTGTGCGTTTTGGATCATAGGGTCTACCATTAAGTCAAATAGCGTTGTTTCCATCTGTACCCGACAAGGAGTAGAATTGCCTTACTAGCCTCGGGTTTTTTTCGCGAGTCATCCGGCTTCCTGTTCCTGCTAAAGATCCCTACGCCCCGATCGAATTATTTAAATAAGTATAATACCACATGTTATAGCCCAGAATTGCCTAGTGGACTAGACGTTAACAGCCCCATTTCTCCTCGTCCTAACAATTATTCCAATCAATCAACTGTAATAATCTTTTGAAGTTTACATTAATTTATACTGATTTACTCTGCCATCTTTAATCGTTTGTCTAGATAGAAAAATAATAATTCTGAGCTCTTTGCTATGTTGTTTTACATGTGGTGTCATCTTATTTGTATAATCCCAATTAATTCAATATAAACATTTCGATTTTTTAAAGGATCTAAACCTCTTAACTCAATATTTCCATAATATTCGTAAAAACACGAACTGGAATTTAATAGTGGTCCATTTCAATCAATATCGATGGTGTTATATTGCCGTGAAGATATGGGATCCTAATATCCAATATTTAAGACACGGTGCGCAATTTATAGTCAGTACACGAGTCGTGTGTTCTATGTTTTTTAGCGTCATATGTAATGCGGAAGTAACTGATTGCTGATTCACAAACGACAAAATAATAATTAAAAAACGTGAAGAATATACTTAACTGGCGTAAGGACTATCGTTCAATCTGGACTGTTCACGTATTTCACCGAACATAATTGATTAGAAATAGCAATAATATTTTTTAAAAAATTGAATATAAATCACTTTTATATCACTTTTATATGTGCTTTAGACCTATTTCCATCTATTTTAAGGTCCAAAATAGAGGGCGCGGGGGGGGGGGGTGGATGGCTGAATGGTTAGCACGTGCGCGCTTTATCATAAAGCCTGTCATTGAGTCAACTGGCGTGGTTTCGAATCCCCGGTTGTACGTGACAAGGAGTAGGGTCGCCTGTCCAACCTCGTGGGTTTTCTCCGGGTCCTCCGGTTTCCTCCCACTGCTAAAGACCCCTACGCGCAAGAGAATTATTGAAATAAAATTAAACCATATGTTAGTCCCGAAATGACCTAGTTTGTGTCGAGTGGACGTTAAACCCCATTTCTCTCTCTCTCTCTCCAAAATAGAGTCAGGCGCCCTTTAAGTGTAAAAATTTGATAATAACCATTCGACCTAGGGACATCGTATATTATAAAACTCTCGTATGAAAAAATAAGACATCTTCAGTACAGCTTACACTAGGGTGTCTCACGGACATAAAACCACCATTAAAATTCTGAACTGAAGTGGTAATTTTACCCCTGGAGTACCCTTGATTGCATAATGAACTGAATCTTACTTCAAAGGCCAGAATTGATTAACATCCCACTAACAGAAATAAAATATGTACTAATAATGTATATTTTATTTGATATTACTCTTCATAAAGTATGTCAGAAACATTTACACCCATTAACTGATAATCAACCTCGTTTTATCAATCTAACATGTTTAGACTCTCAGCTAACCAAGACATAAACATTACCGTTAGATTTACGAAACTATATAACGTCCACCAATATCATTACCATATGCGTTTAGGAATATGTATATATTAGTCAATGACCCACAATTCGTTGCGCACAAACACGGACGTACACGCCATGTCAACCATTTTGTTTTTCTTTGATGTGCTTTATACTCGGCACATGTTGCTGCCATTATATACAAATGAGAACTATAAAAATCTTTTGAATAAAGTAAGTTGAATCAGTTAATGGCGGCGTGAAGGCGTAGATAGCCATAATTAATGCTAACCTATTATTTATCACGATTCGATTACTAAAGATGATAAATTTTCGCTTTATATTCTTATTTTTCTACCCCGCTGCGTTACGGCCCATAAAACACCTAATGGTAGTCGCACATCAAAAGCGACTTACCGGCCTCGATACGGAGAGAGCAATTCCATTTAGCTTCCATAATGGTATTTAGCTTAGCTTAATTACCTAGAACTTTTCAACCAGTCATGCTAGATCTTTTTTCTAGGGATCATAAAATGTATGTAAAGATTTTAACAGATATATCTCCACGGAGAAAGATATGGGAACGACGCGGGTAGCATGGTGAAGACGTAAACAATTCTTTAACTCCCCAATTTTTAGATCTCAAAACACAAGTTTCCATTTACCACTTCCGTTTTTGTATCATTTAATGAACATTTTATAGTTTCTTGAATTTACACCGATTTCTGTTTTTAACGAAAGATTCTTAATATTTTTAGGTATGGAATTTTAACGTTAAATGCGATCGATGGCTTAGAAACGCATATTCCTTGTTAAAGGGTCAAACTATTAATTAGGTATGATAAGTCGTCGGAGCGCACTTCTCATAGACCTGTTGGGAGAGTTTCTATGCATGTTTTTACTTTCTCGCGAAGGCAGTGATACACCAATAACCTGTTTAACTTTAGCTAGCGGATTGAGTGAATATATAATCTCAGTTTTGGTGTTCAATTTGATTGTAGGTCTATACAAGAGCCTACAGTATATGAAGACGACACACAGCTCATCGTGCTATTGGATGCTACAACGGCAAATTAAATGAAATGGGGTTTAACGTCCTACTGTTCTGCTCCGACTGGGCTAATGAAGACGGACATACGCCATACAATGTGCTATGAGGAAACTTTTGTCCGGGCAGTGGCACTATGGCCTACTCTTATATCGAATTCGAACTGCCAAGAATATTTTACCTGCACGTCAATGTGTACACGGGATCTCGGTATTTCGTCCCACCCGAACGACTAGACAGATATCATTATCAAGCCCTCCGTCCTGCACCACTGACAAGGGGAAACCACGTCGGGAAATCCCGATGAACTTTCTCGGCCAATGCAGGGATTGAACTCGCGACCTCCAGGCTTTGCCACCCCTCTACAACAGGATCAACGAAGTCACCCCTTATATAACAAAAGCCATAATATCTTTTATCACTAGACTGAAGTCTGAAATATTTCAGTTATGAATATCTGTCTATTCGATCGCTCAATATATGATATAAAAAGTTGAAAATGGGCTGGGAAATGTGCTAAATAACTATCTCACAAAAAATATTTCTTACACACACTATTTGACCCTAACAACTATTCTAAACCTCTCCACACAACATTCCCCTTATGTAAAGTTATAATATTTAATTTTCTTAAATCATTCTTCATATTCCCCCAAGTTGTAAATAACCCTTCTGTGCAGTAGCTGCTTTGCCAACTCGATGTTCTTGATTGACAGCACGGCCATAAACTTGATTGATAGCCGCAAATTTGACTGACAGCTGTCGTGTAATTTCATAGCAAATTGCTCATTGGCTAATCTTGCTGCCGCGGTGTGCGATATACAACAATAAAGGCGAGTTGTTCAACCAATGAGAAGGCGCGATACGACATGTTGAAATGTTTATTGACATGGACTTGGCGTTGTTTGGTACATTAGTAATTTATATTCTATAGTGTTGAAGCAAAGCGTGTAGTTGAGAAGCCGACAAACTGACAAGAGAGGAGCGCGCAACTTGACTATTTTTAGTGCTTGCGAGTCATCAAAAGGAGCAAGACCTATCTATCAGAACGTGTACGATCCTAACCAGTATTTTGGATATATCTAACTTAAATTAGATACCATTGTGTCTTTATGGAATAACTTAGATCAATAGTAAATAATACTATAACTACACCATGTTAAGCGGTACCGGACAGTATTTTCCACCGGAATATCTCCATTCGATTCCAACATCATCGGTAAGTAGATACTATTCTTTTAACACACTACTGTTATTAATAAAACATTTAGACGAATACAGCGGGCAGCCCAAACATATGTTGACTGGCCATGTTCAGACAATTTAACCACAACGGTGAAACATGTTTCGTGTCTGTATCCATTGAACGCTGAACAAAGTCAAGAAAAACCGTGAACACCCTAACTTATTCTTTGAAGCGCTTAGTATTCTTCGGAGTCCTCCCAAAGCCGTTGTATCTTTTACAGTAACGTGTTTCGTAAACCTTAATCTTAATTTACCGAGATTAGCGTAGTATAAATAGAAGATATTCTAAGCCGTAGTTGACCCCGTTAGTTACTTTACAAGTACCAGTTTGTAAGACAACCGTTAAAAACAATAAAGCTTTAGACGGGCTTCAGAGTTTAGGAACGACTTGTAGCAAGATTAAGTCTTTATCTAGTACTACGTGTTCAGATATTGGAGTGGATTCCGCTAAAGTCGATAACTACGTGTATAATTTTAGGACCAGGCGATTTAGAGAAAAATCTTATTATTATTATTAAGCTAAGAAACTCTCAAGTTAATACCGATATAACTACGAACTTGATTTTTTTTTATTTTCAGCTTTAGGTTTTTTGCTTTAGGTATAAACATTAGACTAGCATTACATTATGAAATCGGCATTTGAGATAAATAATAACATAAGTTCAGATTAGACTTTAAGCTAATATCAGACATACAATAACCCTCTTTGACATTCATAATAATAACTTAGTTTGATATACATAACAATAACTTAGTTTAAGTAGGGTAAATAACAATATCTTAGTTTAAGGTAAATAGCAATAACTTAGTTTATGTTAAAATAACAATAGCTTAGTTAGAGGTAAATAGCAATAATCTAGTTTGAGATAAGTAACAATATCTTAGTTTAAGATAAATAACAACAACCTAGTTTGAAGTAAATAACAGTATATTAGTTTGAGATAACTAGAAATATCATAATTTGAGATAAATAACCTAGTTTGAGGTAAATAACGATATTTGAAATAATTGTCAATGACTTCAGACAGATTTTAACTGAATCTGAAATTAATATTTGAATAACAATAGCGTAATTCATAATCATGAATTGAAGTAGGAATTACTTTTAAAACATACAATGTAGGTATTTCATATGATAGTTAGACTGAACTAGCCTTGAGTCAGTGCGGGTGTATGCGCGCTTTGAAACGAAAAATGTGTTCAGATGTTAGATGTTAAGTCTTATACTATTATGTATATATGCTATGATAATATTATAATTAATGGCCATACCTGTACATCATCTACCATTTGTTTTGACCAACAATTAATAGTGTTTATCTTTTATCATTTCAGCCTGAAAACCAAAAGAGTCCATTGGAGTTATTGGCTCAGACATGCAGCAGTATTGGCAAAGAAACAACTCCAACAAAGATATCGTTGCCAGCATTGGAAAAATCAAATGATAAACAACGTAAGTCACCCTCTTTGGATGACAAGTCAGTCCACGGCGATGAAAAGTTAAGGGAATCCCCAAAAGAAAGCGGAAAACCTGGATTCCGTTCGGTTCCTTATACCGAGATGCCACCATTAGTCCCAATACTCAACCACGACGATAGTTCCAACAGTTCAACAGGAAGAAAATCTAGTCCCCTAACAGTCATAGAGCATAAGGAAAAGGCACCCGTTTTAGAGAAGAAATCGTCCCCGGTTAAACTACAGAGTCCCCCGAAAGAGAATCCATCAGAAGTACGCAAAACATCTTCAACTTCACCAAAAATTCACCACAAGCAATCAGTACCTTCTCCAATTGGCGCCCAACGTGTTCCCACTCCGGCTAGTGTATCTGCAGCTCACAGTGCTTATTTAAATGGACTAAAACCAACTTCGAATCCACTCTACAGTGGTTTTTCTGGTGCTCACCACTTACCATATTCAGCTGGATTATCTCTCATGGGTCATGGAATATCACCCGAAGCCGCCGCTGTTTACCAGTCTCAGCTTTTAGCCCATTCGGGATTACACATCCCAGGATTTTCAGCGGCATCTGCAGCAGCTGCAGCTGCCCAACATTCTGCTTTAAAAGCCAGTGCTGCTGCTGCTGCCTCAATGAACCCTTATGTGAGTTATACTCGTGTTAGAACCCCATCAGGTGCTACAACTCTTGTACCAGTGTGTAAAGATCCCTATTGTACAAATTGCCAATTAACTGTTCAAACATCCCATACTTCAGCAACTTGTAAAACACCGGGATGTTCCCAATGTGCTCATGAAAAAGCTTTATTAGGACTAGCTGCCAGTTCACCAGGCATGGGACTTGCTGGAAGTCCTTTGTCGTTTTATCCACAACTTTCATCTTTACAATCTAGTGCTACAGGACTTTCATCTTTACATTCCCCTTATCACCATCCCCATAGTGCTTTAAGTGCCCATCAAGGACTACCATATGTGTGTAACTGGGTTGCAGGACATGATTATTGTGGTAAACGATTTAATTCATCAGAAGAACTCATGCAACATTTAAGAAGTCATACATCGAGTATAGAATCCGGTTTACCAGCTGGTTATGGACTTGGTTTACCTTCAGGTCTATCAGCTGCTTCTGCAGGCTTGGCTCATTTGGGAGGCTCCGCACCCATTAGTCCCAACGCTATACGTAGAGCTTATCCAACTAGTCTGAGTCCTGGAGTATTGGGAAACGGTAGATTTCATCCTTATAAATCGCCTTTAGGAAGTGTAGCTGCTCCGCCATCAGCCCAACAATTCCCTCCATTGAGTGCTTACTACCCACCCTATTCATCTCTGTATGGACCGAGATTAGGAGCCGCTGTTCCCTGAAAATATTGGCGCCATTAGTTGTCTATTGTTAAAATGTTTTATTGTGATATGAACTATTGTTACAAGATAAAAGGAGATTTTAATTATTAATCACTTTTGTAAAGATTGTTTTGTTAAAGTTACGACAAATTGAGTAATGGCGGTTGATAAAAGAATGAAAATCACGGATGGTATTAAATAGATGAAATGTAACCGAACCCCGTCATTGTTTTTTGTCGATTAAATGCTGAACGTAATTTAATATTTTATGCAATTAATTATTTGATAAATAAATAATATTAATGGAATTGATTTTGGTTTTGCTTTTTCTTTGTTCAGGGTTTATGAAGCGGTAATGAGTGTGAGAATAATAGTAGCGTGCGAAAAAAAAAAACCTATGTGGTAGGAGTGCTTATCAACTATAATATCAACATTACTACTTTAACACATCCTCCTACACGTGCACATGTAACACAAAGGTGTTTCCTTTCCTGAAATAGAAGAAATATATCCATTGAAATATTAAATTGTGAAACAGTAGGGTTTGTGCTAGGGGCTTTTTAACGGATGTAGTGTATTTCCTACACGATAACCCTTGTCCATCTCTTACTCGAATATTAAGGAATTCCCAAAGTCAACTTTTGTTGCACTTCTGCATTGACAGCCCCACTCTCTAAAGTTCCCGTTGGTCGTCTACTCCTTGGAGAATGTTACTACCTTCGTTAATTTTATTTGACGAGGACGAACCTAAGCCGACTGCATTATGTTAAGCTGGGAAAGGCACCCTTTCTTGTTATACCCAATTAAAAGATACCCTACCCCACGACTGTAGATACCTTAAGTGAATCCAATATCTGTATTCGATATGGGGGATCACGTGGCTAAGTGGTAAGACGCTGGCTCACTAGCCTGGAGGTCGGGTTTTCGAACCCTGCATTGGACGAGACAGCTCATCCAGATTTTCCGGCGTGGTTTCCCCTTGTTGGTGAGGCAGGACGAAGGACCTCTTAAGGACAGCTGTCTAGTCGTTCGGATGGGACGAAAAACCGAGGTCCAGTGCACATATTGGCGTGCACGTAAATGATCCCTTGGCAGTTGGAATTCGATATAAGAGTAGGCCGTACAAAATTGCCCGGGCAAAATTTCCCTGGTAGCACACTGTATGGCGTATGCCCGTCTTCATTAGCCCAGTTTAGGAGCAGAACAGTAGGGCGTTAAACCTCATTTCATTTCATTTCATGTATTCGATATGACCTCTTGTGGGGGTCATTATTTTGCACCAGTCATGCTATATCTAATTGAATTCACCTTCCCACGCAGAGACATGCCCAAAATTCGGAGAATAATGCATTAAGAGTGGCCTTTGACTGAGTCAGACCGGAGATTTCTTTGACGTAGAAAACAACAATAAAATAAATCCGGATCGGCTCTCCGTAAAAAAATCGTCTAACAAATAACAACAAATATATTTCACAATATCCATGTTATTTAGATCCTGAAACTTTACATATATTAACTTAATTATAATTTTTGTCATGCAGACAATCCCTCTAAGTAATAAAACATAGGTATTATGTTTCGCGTGATTGTCCCCCGAGAATGTTGGTGTACATTTCATGTTAGATTAAAGTTGACACCACAAAAACAACCGAAAAAAAGTGACAAACGGACTTCCGATTATATGAACTGTCTGAGACATTTTAATGTGTAATAACATAGGCTACATAAATTACTTATGGCTTGCATTAAGAGTAATGTTTATTATTTACAATTCTGTAGAGCTGTCAGACGATTTGCTTATTATTATGACTCCAGAAATAGTCAAAGTATCCATTTTGTTTGTACACGCCCACTTGGAAATGTGGTGGTTTATTGTCGTCCACCTATCCGTCCGTCGTTCACAATTTCTTTTGAACAGTGTACAAACCTCATTTATCACCCGATCTTTTTAAAATATAAAGTTGTTTACATTAGCAAGGCGAAGAATCCAACTGAATTTTCGTGATAACTAGAAAAAACTTATGAAAACGGTACAGACAAGGTCCTCCCTCGTCGACAATTTCTTGTGAACAGTGCACTACATTAATTTTATCATATGATCTTTTAAAACAACTATCTACATACGGCCGCGTCCAAACGAAATACTTTGAAGTTAAGTGATATCTGGAAATAACTTCTGGACACGGTACAAACCACATTTATATTATGTTGTTTACATTAGCGAGGTGAAGAATCCTACTGAATTTCAGTGATGTCAGGAAATAATTTATGAACACCGTACAAATTACACCTATCATTCGATCTTTTTAAAATGTATATAATATGTGGTTACATTAGTGAGGAAAAGTATCCTATTGAATTGCAATGATACTGGAAAAAACTTTTAGAGTTGTTGCCCTTGTTTATTTTTAAGTCACCCATCGGACTTAATTTAAACATATTTAAGCCTAGTTGCCAAATTGTCTAATAAAAATTATATCAATTTCCAACGTAGTTTAATTATTTGTTTGAAAGATAATTAGAAAAGATAAACTGTTCATTTTAATAATGACATGAAAGTAATCAATATGATATGAATATCAATATCCATTCTAGACGCACGCTTCATATCCATAGTTTAAACATATAAAACAAGTTTGTCAAATTATGAATCATATCTTTTCTAATATTCAAGTATGGCAAACATTACCATGTTATTATACTAAATAGATAAATTTAACAGATAAACGCCAAAATTATCATAAAAACATAGCTCTAATGTCCAGGTGCGTCCTCTGACGTCACAAAATGTCGGCTTGTATCAAAGAAACTGTATGACATTGAGGTGACGGAATGACAATTGTCTCGTGTTTTTGGCACACACCTGTTTGTTGTAATTACCATAGTGATAAACGTTAATTTAATGTTTTGGTGGGGTGATAAATTGTAGGCCTAGTTTAACTTGCCGTGTCATTCCCGCAAACCCGATCCTGGGCTGAATTAGTTTTTCGACAAATGTCAATGAATTGGGCGTTTTGTTAGACAAACCATTGATATGAAAAATTTATACATTTATACATCATTTCAATCATAATACTTTGTTTTTGACTGATATTCGCTGTATAGTTAAACACGTCTTACCGTGTACAGGATGCAATGGCCATGGACAAGGTCGCCATGAGCAGTAATTGTGCGTTTGTATTTAAGCCATGTCTAATTGCTTAAATTCAAACGCACAACTACTGCTAACTTCCTAAATTACTAAAAAGAATAAGCACACCCTCTGCCTTTTCTACGTTAATATTACTACCAGCTAATCGAAGCTACAGTTTGAAGAGAGACTTTTTAATAAAAGACGGGCTAATGAAGACGGGCATACGGCATACATAGTGCTATGAGGGAAATGTTTCCCGGCCTACTCTTATTTCAACTTTCAAGGCTTCTTTTACGAGCACGCCAATGTTTGCACGGGACCTTGGTTTTTCGTCACATCTGTCCGACTATACGTTGCCCCATTGTCAGTCGCCACTAACAAAGGGGGTGGGGGAGGAATCATGGCGTCACATCCGTCCGACTATACGTTACCCCTTGTCAGTCACTCCGCTCTGTACCACTGACAAAGGGGGAGGGACCATGCTGGAAATTTCCGAAGAACATTCTATGGCCAATACCGGGATCGAAACAGGATCTCCATGTTAGCGAGCTGACCTCCTACACACTGAGCCACCGTATATCCCGGGACATAAAACACTACTAGGTAGTTTTAAAATGGATTATTAGTATTCGGTAATTCGAACATTCCGGATTACCTAGGATAATCTCCCATGTTGTACATAGTGTGAAGGCATAATTTTATCACAGGTATGTACATATGGGTCGTGTATAGCTCAGTATATACCTTAGTAGTCTAATGATTGGTGTATTATAAAAATATCTTGGTTTATACGAAAGCGGTACAACAGTCATCAACAATGTTTTCAACAATGTTTTCAACAATACTTACTAACATTTATATCTGTAATGTATGTGACGTACATTAACTTGTTAGAATTTATCTTTGTCGACTTTTAATGACATTTTTCGCGTTTCATTTCGATGTTTTTTATATCTTGTAGATGGAAAGTAATTTCTCATTTTCACTTTCTTCCTTTTTTATTTCATAATGTATAAACTTAAGAGCATAACATACGTCTACTTGATAAATTACATTACAAAGATAATTCTTCAATGGATATAAAAAACCAACATATCCATGGAAATTCGAACTTTACCAGTCCAGTACATGTATACTGTTTTTATTTTTAAAACTCCCATATTTAAATGTTGTCTCATATTGTTGTCACACTGTACGTCGGTCCTTCCTTTCGTCATCCATAGTTTGTTGGAGTTCTTCTAGTGGCTACATCTATCATCCGATGGACTGTAATTTTAGACATGGTGTTGTTATTGATGGTCGGGTGGGAAGGGGGTGGGGTGGGCAGAATGCGATTGATTTCTATTACCTGCCGAGTTACTACCCTTTATCGTGTTGATACTGCAGCGACTAAAGTAAGGTAATGTTTATGTTCATGAGACGAAGAAGCTTATTGATTTTTTTTTATCGATTTTAGTGATTGTTATAAAAGTTAGTGTCCTTGCTATTCTATATTTCCATGTAAAATGAAGAAAATCGCTTCATTCATTTTTTGAATACGAACTGAATTTCTTGATTGCCATGCTTTTAATTCAAACATATTTTGATGAAAGGTTAACGCGTGCGCGTTGGATCATCAGGTCTGTCATTGAGTCAGTTGGCGTGGTTTCGATTCTTCGCTTGCATATTATTGTTTTCGAGTTGTGCAAGTCAGCATATTATGATGGGCATCTTAATATATTGGGACAAAGAAACCCCCTGAAATGTGAACATTCCCTAAATGTACAACCGTCACCGTCTTATCCCACTTCAATGCTTCACACGTCATGTGTGTTTGTTCGGCGTTATTTCCATGATTATTTTCATACTCAACTAGTTCATATACATTTTGATTATTATATACAACATCGTATTCATTTGGATGGCCGAATGGTTAGCACGCGCGCGCTGTATCATACGGTCTGTCATTGAGTCAACAGGCGGGGTTTCGATTCCCCGGTTGTACGTGACAAGGAGTAGGGTCGCCTGTCCAACCTCGTGGGTTTTCTCCGGGTCCTCCGGTTTCCTCCCACTGCTAAAGACCCCTACGCGCAAGCGAATTATTGAAATAAAATTGAACCATGTGTTAGTCCCGAAATGACCTAGTTTGCGTCGAGTGGGCGTTAAACCCCATCTATCTCTCTCTCTCTCTCTCTC